GGGGGGTTCTTGGCGCAGAAGTCAGCAGGAAGGGCAGCGCGGTAGCGGGTGTCACTAGTGCGGAGGTGCGTAATGAGATCAGCGACAGCGGGAAAGGCGGCGAGGTCAGGGAAGAGGAAGGGGAGCATGAGGCGGCTCAGTGCAACAGTGGCAGGGGAGGAGTAGCGCGCAACTACAGCGTCGTACAAGGTCTGGGCACTCTTGTACTGACTAAAGTGTGCACGCTCAGCGGTAGGCAGGTGGCGACGCACAGCAAGACGTACAGCAGCATCGCGTGTGGCCCACTTGGAGCAAACAGTGGGGTCAGCATCAGCAGCAGGGGCAGGGACGGCGCCAGAGGTAAGGTCAAAGAGAGAAAGGTCGTCTACCCTATTGCACTGCAAGAACAGCTGCAGGTCGTCGACCCAGACCTCAAAGTCAATGGCACGACCCTCAGCGTCAAAAGCTAGGACACTAGGGTTAGCCATGACTGCAGCCGGCGGTCTCACCAGACAGGACGGGTCGGGCAGCACAGCAGCACAGCAAACACGGCAGCTCGGCCGGCCCAGCAGCAACAGCAGCACCTCGGCACCAGCGGCTCGGCTCCTCGGGCGGCTCGGGCGGCTCGGGCGGCTCAGGCGGCTCGGGTGGCTGGGGCGGCTCGGGCGGCTCGGGCGGCTCGGGCGGTCAGCGGCACAGGTGGCTCCGGCGGCTCGGCTCCACAGCTGCGCAGGCGGCCCGGGCCGGTGGCTCACGGCAGGGACGGGTGGTGCACGGGTGGCCGGGAGCTGGGCCGGGACAGGTAGCGCACGGGCGGCTGGGAGCGGGGCCGGGACGGGTGGCACACGGGCGGCTGGGAGCTTCCTTGCTCGTGAGCTGCAGCAGCGTGGTCAGTTGCGGCTTGCTTACGTGGCCTCTGAGGCCAACACTGCTGATGTGTTCACCAAGGCACTTGCGCCTTGTGATCATCAGCGCTTCTGCACTCAGCTGGGTCTTATGCCTGGCTTGCCTCACTTGCTCACCTCTTGACCTTGCTTGTACTATCACATATATATATATATATACCTGCTCTTGCTTGTGTAGCTTTATGTATATGTGTACACTTGCATGTGAACTGGCCTTTGGCCTTGACCTTGTGCTCAGACTGTGTGGTGACTTTGAGATCCACCCTGAGCTTGCTTTGCTTTACTTTGCTTGACTGGTCTTGTGACCCTTTGTTCTCCCCCACTTTGCCTATGGGGGTGTGTCGGAACATTATATAGCTTATACATTTGTGTAGGCTGTAGTGGGGTATCCCATAGGGGGTACAACCCAATTAGGGTTAGTACTTGTACCCATTTCATTCATAGTTCATCCATTCTCGTTTCAGTTTTCTCAATACCCTCTTAGCATTCTCGCACGCTATGTTGCTCCTGGGAGACACCGACCAGAGCACATGGCTGCAGCGAAGAGGGTGTTGCGCTACTTGTGCAGTACGTCGGGTATGGGGCTAGTGCTTGGAGGGCGGAGTCCAGTGGTCCTCACTGGGCACGCAGACGCTTCTTGGGCTGACGACCAGGCTACGCAGCGGTCGTCACAGGGTTACACCTTCAGCCCTGGTTCCGGCTCTGTTTCGTGGCGGGCTACTCGCTCGTCTTCTGTTCTCGGCTCCAGTTGTGAGGCTGAGATCTACGCAGGGGCCATGGCTGCACAGGAGCTTCGCTGGCTCACCTACCTGCTGACTGACCTCGGAGAGCCGCCTCGTTCTCCTCCAGTTTTGTACGTAGACAACAAGGCCATGCTGACCTTTTGTCGAGAGCAGAGACTGGAGCACAGAACAAAGCACATTGCTCTCCACTACTTCCTTGCTCGTGAGCTACAGCTGCATAGTCAGCTGCATAGTCAGCTGCGTCTTGCGTACGTGGCCTCTGAGGCCAACACTGTTGATGTCTTCACCAAGGCACTTGCGCCTTGTGATCATCAGCGCTTCTGCACTCAGCTGGGTCTTGTGCCTGTCTTGCCTCACTTGCTCACCTCTTGACCTTGCTTATACTGTTACATATATATGTACCTGCTCTTGCTTGTCTAGCCTTATATATATATGTATATATATTGTGTACTCCTGCATGTGAACTGGCCTTGTGGCCTTGAACTTGTGCTCGGAATGTGTGGTGACTTTGTGATCCACCCTGAGCTTGCTTTGCTTTGCTTTGCTTGACTGGTCTTGTGACCCCCTGTTCTCCCCCACTTTGCCTATGGGGGTGTGTCAGAACATTGTAGCTTATACATATTGTGTAGGCTGTAGTGGGGTATCCCATAGGCAGTACAACCCAATTAGGGTTAGTACTTGTACCCACTTGTTTCATAGTTCATTCATTCTCGTTTCTTCTCACGGAAGTTGTTCGTGGCCGAGCGAGCTGAACCAAGCTCCCTTAAGATATACTCTCTATAGTATTGCTTCAATAATGAACATCATTCCTTACACTGGCAGAAATAATGGCCTTGTTCTGTAGGCGGACAATTTCCAGCATTTGGTTTCGCAAAGTAAGGATGATAATTGATCAATTGCTTATCTAGGTTTGGTGATATGCACGTGGATGCCAAACCTACTTGCGCCAAATTTGACGCTTCTGCCTGTAGAGCACCACTTTTGACCCGCACAAATTTAACTGGGTGCTGGTTCGAAGCAGTTGCTTCGCCTGGCAAACTGTCGCACATCTAGTGCGGGGCTGATTCAACCTCCAGGGCAAGCATCAGCCAGCGCACAAGTTATGCGGGGCTTTGGATATGCGGGGCTTCGTAGCAACATAGATGGTGAAAATTTTGATTGGACGCTACACTAAGGGCGTATTCCTACGGCCTCATATCAAGAAACCTCCTATCAAGATTGTACCTTTTGCCTGGTAAATGTAGCGAGAGATTTGGGGTTTAGGGAATTTTCCAGTGAGAGCTTGATAGGAGGTTTTCTTGATAGGAGGATAGGAATACGCCCTAATTTTCTAGGAAAGACTGTCCAGGACATTTTGTGCGGAGGCCAGTCCGCCTACTGAACAAGGCCAATACGAAGGTTGGATTTGACCTCACGAATGTATTCGAGGGCGTATTCCTGGCTTGTTTCAAGGCTTGTGCACCAACTGACCTCAAAACTGTGCAAATTTCTGACCACTGGCACTGATGAATGAGCATCGCCATACAACATACAACAGCCACGCCATGTGACCAAGGAACTAGGCAGCAGAGAGACCTATTTCTGCGACTCGCTCGCTTGCTCTGTTGCTGTGAAAGGTGTCTCTCCTCGCTGCAGCCTGTCGCGTAGAGACTCCCTAGGCTGAGCCAGCCTGTCAGCCGCAGTCCCCGCTTCTCTGGGACACGGCTTCCCCCGCGACACGCTTTTTCCATCGTCTTAAAACTCGACTAGGGAACGTTTCAGAAGCCGTAGGACACGCTTATCCGGGTCAGGCTTCCCCGGGACATTGGTTGCCTAGCCACGATTTCCCCACGTAATCCACTGCAGAATGCTTACGTGAAAGGCCTCTCACTTCCGAGTCTACTTCTAGCCAATGGCGCCTCCGGCGCGGGCCGCCGTTCCCGACGCGACGGCCGCGCGGCATCTAACGGTCGACGGCGACGTCGGGATGTCAGACGACGCGGCTCGGAGCCTCGCGCGCGGGTTCTTTCTGGGAGGCTTCCTGCTGCTCCCCTGGCTGTGGTTCGTTAACTGCTACTTCTTCTGGCCCGTGCTTCGTTATAACGCCGGCCACGACCCCCTGCTGCGATCCTGTGAGTGTATCTGACAGAGATTGATTTAACACGGTCTATCTTTTTCTTTGATCTGCTTGCGCCCCTCCTTTCCCTTCATTTCCCCCCTCTAACCCTGCCTAGATTCTGGCCCGTGCTTCGTTATATCGCCGGCCACGCCCCCCTGCTGTGACTCTTTGAGTAAATCTGACAGAGACTGATGTAGCATGATCTATCAGCTCCCCCCTTCATTTTTACCCTCTAACTTTGCCCTGATTCTGGCACACGTGCTTCGCCCGAAACACTCCTTTCCATCCTCTCGTTCTCCCCCGTTTTCTTTCCTTCTCTCCCCCCATCTTCCGCCATTCTGCCATTGGCTGCAGTGTTGCCTTCTCCCTCCTTGCCTCTTCCCCCGATTCTTACCCCTCAAACCCTCCCATTTTCCCCACTTTCCCTCATTTCCTCCTGCCCATCTCCCCTTTCTCGCATTTACTCGCAGACGTGGTGGGATCAGCCATTGGCTGCAGTGTTGCCTTCTCCCTCCTTGCCTGCTGGTCACTAGCGTACTCTATAGGAGGGGAGGCCCTATTAGGGGCTGACACGTGGCAGAAGCTAGCAGTGTACAATATTGTGGATGGTATCTTGTAGTCTTTTAATTTTGTGTTTGCATGGATTCTAGGAAGCTGAGAGGGGAAATGGGAGGAGAGAGGGGTGGGTAGGGGGGTGGGTTTAGGACTGCGCTGCTGCAAGGTTGCTGGAGCTAGCAATGTACAATATTGGGTGAATGATAGGTGGCTAGGTTATTCATCAATGTAACATATGGGAATGGCCCATCCTACTCAGCTTATGTGCCAATCCTCCTGTACGAGCAACATTACTTGAATCCAATGCATGACTTCTTTTCTTGTGCAACAAGCCTTTGTTAGAAACGTTCACGTACGCCTCACCTGCACACTGATAACCTGTGCAATCAGATCACGGTACTGTGGGATTATGTCACTGCGCAATCGTCCAATCCTGTGCAATATCTCGCCCTCTGCTGCTGTGACAGCCCTCTCCTCACAGCAGCCTTTCTAAGCTGATCCACCCTGTCAGCCCCCAGCCCTCCTTAGCCCCCCCAGCCCTCCTTAGCCCCCCCAGCCCTCCTTAGCCCCCCCAGCCCTCCTTAGCCCCCCCAGCCCTCCTTAGCCCCCCCAGCCCTCCTTAGCCCCCCCCAGCCCTCCTTAGCCCTGCCCAACCCTGCCTTGCCTTCGTCTCTGTTGGCACCTGCCTTGCCTGCTGCTTCCTGCCTTCACTCTTTCCCTCTACTTCTGTGTTAGCCCTCTCCTCACAGCAGACTTTCTCAGAAGTGCCAGCCTGTCAGCCCCCAGCCCTCCCTTGCCCTGCCCCGCCTTCCACGCACCCAGAACCTCGGCTCGCTTCAACACATCCCCTCCCTTCCTCCTCTCCTCATCTTCCTCCTCCCCTTCCTTTTGAGACTTCTCAGGAATGACATCCCCTCCCTTCCTCCTCTCTGCTCCCTCCCCCCCCTCCTCCACTTTCTCGTCTACCTCCTTCCCTTCTCCATCCCCAGGTTTAAATTCCCCTCCCCCAACCTGCTCCGCCTCTTCTGCCACTCGCCCCTCCTTCAATTCCTCTTCCTCTTGCTGTTTGTCACTCAGCCCAGTCTCATTCTCCCCAGTTCTACCCTCCCCACTTCCACCCTCCTCAATTCTACGCTCCTCCGTTCTACCTTCCCCAGTCCTACCAGCCTCTTCCTGTGCCACGTCAGCATCCGCTGCTTCTGCTTCACGTGCCAGCTGCATGGCCAGGGGCCCGAGACGGGCGGCGAGATACGTCTGCTTTTGGTGGAGGTCCGACAGGCACTCCCATTCAAAGAAAGGTATCTGCGGTGGAGAGTGGTGGAGGGAGGTAGGAGACGTTTGAGTCGACTCAAGACTCTGCTGCTTCTGGTGGAGGTCCGACAGGCACTCCCATTCAAAGAAAGGTATCTGCCGCGGTGGGGAGCGGTGGAGGGAGGTAGGAGATTCGATTGAACTTAAACTCGCTCAGTAAAAAAAGGCATCTCAAATTAAGGCACAAGGAGAGGAACAGGAGAGGAGCAGGAGAGGAGAAAGGGGAGTTGAGCAGCGAAAGAGATGAGAGAGAAAGGCCCGATTTTCATATATTTTGATATTAACATATAATACTTTTATCCTACAACCTGAAACCTCACCTGAACCACCTGGCACCAAAAGACATCTGAGCCACCTGAAGCCCACAGAGGGACTCACCTGAAGCACCTGAAGCGGACAGAGGGACTCACCTGAACCACCTGCCAGCCTCGGCAGCGCAGCAGCCTGGCCTTGAGGCGAGTGGGACCCAGCGGCACATGCTGCTGCTGCTGATTGTGCTGATGGGGGTGCTGCTGAGAGTGCTGCTGATGCTGCTGCTCAGTTGTCATTCCAGACGTGCTTATAGTGAAGTGTGACGGCCCGTCAGCCTCCACTGCTATCTTGAGAACACGGCGTTCCCTTCTCCTATGATCACTCCTCGTAGAGTCACTCCCCGTAGATTCTGTTGCGGCGAGAGGCAGGAGGAGGGCGAGGTCGATGCTGTAGTCGCCGTCTCGGTACTCGAGGGTGTGGGGGAGGTGCATCTGGTGCAGGGCGCAGCTGATGTCTCTCTGAAGCCCTGAAACCTGGAGCTTCTCTGCCTCGTGGGCTGCTTCCCAGCACGCCTGCAGTGGGTATACACACATAAGGGTGCGGGGGGGATTGATGTTGGGAGGTGCATGTGGTGCAGGGCACAGCTGATGTCCCGTTGAAGCCCACACCAGATGGACATCACCTGTACCTTCTCCTCCTCGTGAGCCGCCTCTTAGCACGCCTGTGGTGGGAGAAGCACCCAAGAATGAAGGTGTGCGGGGGGTTGGTTTGAGTTTCGGTGCATCTGGAATAAATGTGAAGTCACCTTATCTAAAATAATGTTTAAGAACAGCCACATGTTAAAAGTGATATTTTGAGACGTCTCAAATTAAGAACAGCCCCACTCACATCGCCCCACCTTCGCCTGTTGCCGCACAAATCCCAACAGCCACAAGTGCTACAAATACCAATACGACTCGTCCCTCTCCTCCTCCTAACACGTTTTCAAACGGCTGCTGCCTTCCCAGCACCTCACTAACCCTCCAACCGCCCTTGCTCGCCTCACCTTAGCCTGTTGTCGCACAAACCCCGACAGCCATAAGTGCTGCAAATACCAATACGACTCGTCCATCTCCTCCTCCTCTTCTTCTTCCTGCTGCTGCTGCTGCTCTCCCTGTTCCAACTGCCCCTGCTGCTGCCCCTGCTCCTGCTCCCTCCACTCCCCATCCCCCTCGCTCCCACTGCTACTCGTGCTCCTCGGAGCGTGCCCCATAACGCCCATCCCGCCCTCCACCAGGTGCGTGTTGTGCTCCGGTGCTTCCAGCTGGGTGGCCAGGTCAACCTGCGAAAGAGCGGGAGTGAGGGCGGGAGGGAGTGAGGCAGCAGAAAGAACACCACCCCCCTCCCATCCCTCATGGCGCCCATCCCGCCCTCCACCAGGCGAGTGTTGTGCTCCGGTGCTTCCAGCTGGGTGGCCAGGTCGACCTGCGGAAGAGCGGGAGTGAGGGAGGGAGGGAGTGAGGCAGGAAGGAGGGAAGCAGAAAGAACACCACCTCCCTCCCATCCCTCATGGCGCCCATGCCGCCCTCCACCAGGCGAGTGTTGTGCTCCGGTGCCTCTAGCTGGGTGGGTAGGTCGACCTGGGAGGGAGGGAAGGAGGGAGGGAGGGAGGGAGGGAGGGAGGGAGGGCAACAGGCTCATGGCAGGAGAGAAAAAGGGGAGAGGAGAGCACCGCTCCCACTGCCACTCGTGCTCCTCCCAGCCTGCCCCATGCCGCCCATGCCGCCCGCCACCAGGCGAGTGCTGTGCTCCGGTGCTTCCAGCTGGGTGGCTAGATTGACCTACATCAAGGGAGGGAAGGAGACAGGGAGGGAGAGGGGGCAATGCTGGGGAGAGCACTCCTCCCAGCGTGCCCCCTAACGCCCATGCCGCCCTCCACCAGGCGAGTGCTGTGCTCCGGTGCTTCCAGCTGCGTGGCCAGGTCGACCTGTCTCAAGGGAGTGGGCGAGCGGGGGGGGGGAGTGAGATCCAAATGAGCCCACCTGGTACAGCCCACCTGGTACAGCCCACCTGCTACAGCCCACCTGGATGTGAGGTGAGGTCATGTGGGCGTGTGCTCGCTGGAGAGGGAGCAGGAGAGGTCATGTGCGCGTGTGACAGGCACGCCCGTGATACCGTATGTGTGCATGTGTGTGCTTTAACCCCACCTGGTACAGCTGGCAGAGCTCATTAGAGGTGAGGTCGCTGGTGAGAGAGAGCAGGTGGTGACGCAGGATGGGGAGAGAGCGATGATATGTGCGTGTGCCACAGCCCACCTGGTTCAGCGCACGTGCTTGTTCCCCACCTGATACAGCTGGCAGAGCTCAGAGGAGGTGAGGTCGGTGGTGAGGGAGAGCAGGTGGTGCCGCAGGATGGGGAGAGCTGGGCTGAGAGAGGCAGAGGAGGAGGGAGAGGAGGGGAGAGAGGATGGGGAGTTGATGGTGGTGATGCTGGTGCTGGGAGCAGCAGCAGAAGGAGCAGCGGCGGCAGGCGGAGCAGGAGCAGCAGAGGGTGTGTCGGTTTGGCCATGCACCACGAGAGCCCATGCGAGCATCACCAGTGCCTGGCGCCCAAACTCCTGTTCTCCTGACCGCAGTGATAGTCGACGGATGATCTGAATAAGGGGAGAGAGGAGAGGAGGGGGGATGGATGTGAATAACGGAGAGGAGAGGAGAGGAGAGGAGAGGAGAGGGGAGGGGAGGAGAGGAGAGGAGAGGAGAGGAGAGGAGAGGAGAGAAGAGAAGAGGAGAGGAGAGGAGAGAAGAGAGGAGAGGAGAGGAGAGAAGAGGAGAGGAGAGGAGAGAAGAGAAGAGAGGAGAGGAGAGGAGAGGAGAGGAGAGGAGAGGAGAGGGAGCATGAGAGGGAGCATGAGAGGGAGCATGAGAGGGAGCATGAGAGGGAGCATGAGAGATCAGTGGCAGTGAATTGGTGGGAGGGGCGGAGCAAGGGAGATTGGCGGATACGCAGGTGCGCCTCTAGGTCTCTTACCAAGTAAACAACTGCAGGTCACAGTGGGGCAGAGAGAAGCAGGTCACCAGATATGGTGGCATTACTTCTGAGAATTCTCAAAAGTAACGCCAGTAGAGCAACAGAGTGAAGCAGGGCATCAGAGCACAGCAGCCCAGAGCAGCCCAGAGCAGGCCAGAGGGGCGGAGCAAGAGAGGTTGGCGGATACGTAGGCCCTCCTCAAGGTCTCTTACCAAGTGCCTCATTGCACGGACCAGTAGAGCAGCAGAGACAAGCAGGGCACCAAACCACAGCCGCCCAGAGCAGGGGAAAAACCACCACCCACCTCAGACTCAACACGCAGGAAGAGAGGAGGGGCGGTGTGGCCAATCAGAGCAAAGGCAAACGCCAGGCAGGCAATGGTGCGGCCGGCGTATCTTGGTATGTAGCGGGTGGCGTGGGCGGCAGCGGCGGAGAAAAAGGGGACGTCGTAGTGACTCTGCGTTGCTAATGCCCTGAGGGGAGAAAATTGGGGAGGAAGAGGAGGGGGAGGGGTGGAGAAGGGAGAGTAGGAAAGAGAGAAACGTGGAGAACGGTATGAGAGAGTGATAAGATTTCTTCAAAAAAAGGACGTCGTAGTGACTCTGCGTTGCTAATGCCCTGTGGGAGAGGTTCAGGAAGGCAGGGGCGGGGGGAGGGGAGGGGGAGGGAGGGGGAGGGAGGGGGAGGGAGGGGGAGGGAGAGGGCAGTAGAGAAGAGAGAAACGTGGATAGTGTTGAGACGGGTTGTTGGAAAAAAGGGACGTCGTCGTTACTCTGTGTTGCGAATGCTCTGAGAGAAACAGTTGTGAATGGGGAGAAGGAAGGGGAGGGGGAGAAAGAGATAAGGAGCAGGAGCAGGAGCAGAGGGAGCAGAAGGAAGAGGGAGGAGAGCGAAGGGGTGGGGGGTGGTGAAATGGGGTGATTTTGAGTCGACTCATCATCCACCTTGAGAGGAAGCAGAGGGATGGGCGGGTGAAATGGGAAGTTAAGAAGAGAACATGCACAGACGGAGAAAGCATAAAAGAATAATTTCGACTTGGATCCAACGGTCCTATCTCGCCCTATTCTCCTCTAAGCTGAGCTCAGCTCAGCTTTGGGAAGTTAAGAAGAGAACATGCACGGACGGAGAAAGAAGTTGTGCTGCTGCTGTGCTGTGCTGCCACCAGTGGTGGACAATTCCCATGCAATGTTGGCAACAGATGCAGCACAGCACACCTCACAGCACCGCACTGTACCATGCTATGTTGGCAACAGCCTGCCCAGACACAGCCTCCCTCTCCAGTTTGCTGCCCACGAATTGCCTAATGCTCTCCGCCCCCACTCCCTCTAAACCCACCATCCACCCCACACAGCACCGTACCACACACAAGCACAGGACAGGACCATACTCCACCACGCCATGCAGCACCGCACCGTACCATGCGATGTTGGCAACAGCCTGCCCAGATACAGCCTCCCTCTCCAGTGTACCGCCCACAATTCGCCGCGTGCTCTCCTCCCCCAATGCCTCTAATAGTTGCTGGCTGCGGTGGCCTGCTGTGGCGTACGCCCTGATTGGAGGAGGGGCAAAGGCAAGGGAAAAAGAGGGGATGGGGGAGGAAAATGGGGTGTGATGGTCCATTCGTCGCGTGCTCTCTTCCCCCACTGCCCCCTCTAGCAGCTGCTGGTTGCGGTGGCCTGCTGTGACGTACGCCCTGATTGGGGGAGGGAAGGGAAGAAGGGGTGAGATCGTTTGAGGTGCGGTGAGCGTTGCTCTGGCGGCTGGTTGCTCCTCCACAGCCTTTAGCAGCGGCTGGTTGCTCCCCAACAGCCTTTAGCAGCGGCTGGTTGCTCCCCCACAGCCTTTAGCAGCAGCTGGTTGCTCCCCCACAGCCTTTAGCAGCAGCTGGTTGCTCCCCCACAGCCTTTAGCAGCGGTTGGTTGCGGTGATGAGTCGATTTTTTAGTCGACTCAAAAAGTTGCTCTCCTCCCCCACAGCCTTTAGCAGCGGCTGGTTGCGGTGGCCAGCTGTGGCGTACGCCCCGGTTGGGAGGACGGGATGGGGAAAGGGAGGAACAAGTTGTGTGGTAAGGTGCGGTGCACTCACGATTTGCCGCGTGCTCTCCTCAACCACAGCCTTTAGCAGCAGCTGGTTTTGGCGGCCTGCTGCTGTGGCGTATGCCCTGTTAAGAGAGGGGGAAAAGGTAAATGAAGGAGTGCTTTTCTAGGTGCAGCACGCACACACACATGATTCACCTCGTGCTCTCCTCCCTGCCTCTAGCAGCTGATGCCTGCGATGCCCTGCTGTGGCATAGGCCCTGAAAAGAAGGTTCAGTGAGGCATGGGATAACGGGATAAGACATTGAATTGGTCTAGTGAGGTGCACCCACTCATAACCTCGTGCTCTCCTCCCCCACTGTCTCTAGCAGCTGATGCCTGCGATGCCCTGCTGTGGCATAGGCCCTATGGAGTGGGGGGAGTAGGATGGGAAAGGAAAGCAATAGCACAGTCCTTGACCAGGAAAAAAAAAAAGAGTAGTGTACGATGCAGCATCGACATGAACCAAACCTATGCAATATTCTTATATAATAGAACCAAACCAATTCTATCCATATACTACTGTACGCAGAACAATAACATAATACTGTACAACGCAATACTGGTACCATGCGATGTTGGAGAGTGACTGCGTAGAGTGTTCTTGTATCGATCCGATCACTCGTGGTACAAAGAGTGCAAACACGCTTGGAGCATTCACATTGAGGCGCACAAATGCCCTGAGTGGGTAACGGGGAAGTGAAGGGGTGAGGGAAATATAGGAGGGAGAGGGGGTGAGGGAGGGTCTTATGACCCTAAACCGTAAACCCTGAACCCCGAATATGTTTGGGGAGTTCACGTTGAGACGAACAGATTCCCTGAGAGAGGGCGATGGGGATGGGGAGAGAGGGAACGAGAGAGGGGAGAGGAGCGAGAGGGATTTAGAGTGGGAGTTGATTACAGAAGTGTTTTGAGACTTCTCAATTCACGTTGAGACGAGCAAATGCCCTGAGAGAGGGCGATGGGGATGGGGAGAGAGGGAACGAGAGAGGGGAGAGGAGCGAGGGGGGTTGGGAGTGGGAGAGTGGGGAGATGGGGGGGGGGGGGAGCATCTAACTACACGCGGCACAAAGAGTGCAAACACGTTTGGAATGTCCTGAGAGGAGCAGTTGCCCTGAGCAGGTCGGGGGAATTTGAACAAAGGGAGAGGGGCAGAGGAGAGGAGAGTCAGGTGTATTGTGCACTGCACAGAACAGAGAGCAAAGGGCGAGAAGAAGAGTAGGCAGATCACTAGATTAGAGAATGTGATCTGATCTAGATTGGTCTACAGATGGCGGCTCAGCAGAGAACCATGGAGTTGTCTTGAGATGCGAACGCAGAAGCGTTTCTGCCTAAGCCTAGCAAGCCAGCGCACGGACGGAAGAAAGGATCTTTTGAATGATGCAGCTTGGAAAACGTTGAGAAGTAAAGAGGGTGGCTCGCAGGTCATGCGAAGAAGAGAGGAAAGAGGGGGGAGAAAGGACGCCACTCACCAGAGGGGGGAGAAAGGACGCCACTCACCAGAGGGGGGAGAAAGGACGCCACTCACCAGAGGGGGGAGAAAGGACGCCACTCACCAGAGGGGGGAGAAAGGACGCCACTCACCAGAGGGGGAGAAAGGACGCCACTCACCAGAGGGGGGAGAAAGGACGCCACTCACCAGAGGGGGGAGAAAGGACGCCACTCACCAGAGGGGGGAGAAAGGACGCCACTCACCAGAGGGGGGAGAAAGGACGCCACTCACCAGAGGGGGGAGAAAGGACGCCACTCACCAGAGGGGGGAGAAAGGACGCCACTCACCAGAGGGGGGAGAAAGGACGCCACTCACCAGAGGGGGGAGAAAGGACGCCACTCACCAGAGGGGGGAGAAAGGACGCCACTCACCAGAGGGGGGAGAAAGGACGCCACTCACCAGAGGGGGGAGAAAGGACGCCACTCACCAGAGGGGGGAGAAAGGACGCCACTCACCAGAGGGGGGAGAAAGGACGCCACTCACCAGAGCATGTTGGAGATGTCTTGAGACGCGAACGCAGGCACGTTGCTCTCGGCCCAGGCAGCCAGAGCGCGGAAAAGAGAGTCGTCTGAATGGTGGAGCTTGGCGAAGGACCTGCGAGGAAGAAGGAGAGCGGGGAGAGCGCATGAATGAAGGCAAGCAAGGCGCTCTGCTGGCCCAGGCAGGGACAGAAGCAGTTGGAGGACAGCAGATCTTCAGAGTGCTTTGAGTCGACTCAAAACACAGTTGGCGGACAGCGGATCTTCAGAGTGCTGCAATTCAATGAAGGACCTGCTTAGTGAAGAGGTTCGATTTTACAAAACCCTACGTGAATTAGCTAGGTTTTTTCTATGACTGTTTCATCCTTTGCTAAACTTTCTCCCTTAAGCTGCTGCTCGCTGGAATGTCTAACGATTCACAGAAGCAGTTGGAGGACAGAGGATCACCAGAGTGCTGCAATTCAGTGAACGACCTGCGAGGCAGAATGCACAGCCACATTCTGCGCGTGAGTCGTGACATCATGCCATGCCATGCCATGTCTATGCACAATACACCAACCCTGACCGTGCCATTCTGTTCACACCATATGGGAGATAGCATGCTGGTAGCATCCCACACCATGACATGCATCCCACACCATGACATGCATGCATCCCACACCATGACATGCATCCCACACCATGACATGCATCCCACACCATGACATGCATCCCACACCATGACATGCATCCCACACAATGACATGCATCCCACACCATGACATGCATCCCACACCATGACATGCATCCCACACCATGACATGCATCCCACACCATGACATGCATCCCACACCATGACATGCATCCCACACCATGACATGCATCCCACACCATGACATGCATCCCACACCATGACATGCATCCCACACCATGACATGCATCCCACACCATGACATGCATCCCACACCATGACATGCATCCCACACCATGACATGCATCCCACACCATGACATGCATCCCATGCCATGACATGCATCCCACACCATGACATGCATCCCACACCATGACATGCATCCCACACCATGACATGCATCCCACACCATGACATGCATCCCACACCATGACATGCATCCCACACCATGACATGCATCCCACACCATGACATGCATCCCACACCATGACATGCATCCCACACCATGACATGCATCCCACACCATGACATGCATCCCACACCATGACATGCATCCCACACCATGACATGCATCCCATGCCATGACATGCATCCCACACCATGACATGCATCCCACACCATGACATGCATCCCATGCCATGACATGCATCCCATGCCATGCACGGTCATCACATGACATGCCATGCCAAGCCATGCCATGCCAAGCCGCACCATGCCATGCCACGCCACGCCGTACCATGCGATGATGGCGAGCTGCGGAGCACTGTAGCTGTGCATGTCAGAAAGGACAAGCTTTGCCGCCTCGCGGAAGAGCAGATGCGAGTGCAGCCCCACCCGCGCGTGTGCCCTGGGATGATGATACCATCGGGGGAGGTGGTGGGGAGGAGGTGGGGAGGAGGTGGAGAGGGGGTGGAGAGGGGGTGGAGAGGGGGTGGGGAAAGAGCAGGGGAAAGAGCAGGGAAAAAGGAGCGGGTATGGGTGCAGAAGAGCAGGTGCGAGTGCAACCCCACCCGTGCATGCGCCCTGGGATACCATGGGGGGAGGAGGTGGGGAGGAGGTGGGGAGGAGGTGTGACAGACTCCCAGTGCAACATGAACAGCATAATCAAACTTGTGTGATAGGTATGAAATTGATTATGAAAATAGTGAGATATGAATAGCATTTACTAAAATTGTGTGATATGAGCAGCATTATGAAAATAGTGTGATATGAACAGCATTATGAAAATAGTGTGAGATGAACAGCATTATGAATAAAATGTGATATTTAACAGCATTATGAATCAAATGTGATATAAACAGCATTATGAAAACAGTACGATGTGTAACAGTACCACAGGATCTCCTTAACATGGCGTGGCTGGTAGCAGTGCAGCGAGCCAATCACGTGCTCCCACGTCAGCCGCCCAAGCAGGTCCCGCGCCAGGCTGGCGTTGACAGCTGGCAGGCCGGCGGTGGAGCCTAGGGCATGCATCTAACGGTGGGAGGGGACAAAGAGTTGTTGACAAGTATATGCAAGTAAGTATACATGTACTTATGTATGTATACATGTATGTATGTATCAACATCATATATATATATATACATATATATACATATATATATGCATAAGTGTAAGTTTACATATACAAATATGCTGGAGACAAATGCACACAGAGACAGAAACCCACACGTACCAGAATGGCCACTTCCAGCGGCTGGAAGGATTTGATCTGCGCGAGCGATGCTGCCATGACAGTGTTTAGCAGGGACGGTGGGCCGTGCCCCAGCTCTGCCTGTGCCCTGAGAGAAGGTCAACAGGGGTCAACAGGGGTCAACAGGGGACAACGGGGGTCAAGAGGGGTCAAATAGGTCGAACGTCATTTGAGGCGCCTCAAAAGTCGTCTCCAGGGAGTCAACAGGGTCAACAGGCGTCAAATGGAGGTCAAATGTTCTAAACTCAAACCTCCAAAAAACCCAAACCCTTTTGAGATGCCTCAACAGTGGTCAATGAGTTCAACGGGGGTAAAAAAGGCCAGATGTTCCAAACTAAATCAAACCTCCCAAAAAACCTAAACCCTGAACCCCGAGCTTTGCCACCCATCAGTGATGGAAGATAAATGGAAGATGCAACATACATGTTACACGCACGCATGAGACTACCGCTCATGCCTGAACTGAACCCACGACCACCACCCACCACGCACCTAACCATCCAGTCACCAGCCCACCCGCCCGGCACCATCCCACCCACCCACACGCACTCACCATGCCACGTTGGCCAAAGCCTGGCCCTTGAGTCTGCCGCCCTTTGCCAGCGCCTCCACCTGCCGCCCGAGCCACCGGACCGTTTCGTCCTCTTTGAGCCGGTCCACGAGACGCCGTCCGCCCCCCATGCGCTTGGCATGCTTGGCAATGCGGTGGAATGCGGTGCAGATGTGTACAGGGGACAAACCGGTGCTTGCCTTCCCATCCTTTTGGCCCTTCACTCGCTTAGAAGAGACATTTCCCTCCTCCCCTCTATCCTCTCCCCCTCCACCCTCCCCCACTTTACCCTCCCCCACACTCTCCTCTTCCCTTCCCTCCCCTCCTTCTTTCCCCTCTCCCCATCTCTCCTCCCCTCTTCTATCCTCCCGCACACCGCCTCCCACTCTCCCTCTCATCTCCTCCCCATTCTCTCTGTGTGCTTTCACCACGGCCAGTAGTTCTGCCAACGTGGCGCGATACGATAGGACGTTCATCAGCCGCTTGCCGTCCAGCGCCGCCCAGCTGCGCAAGTCGTCATTGCTGGGCGGCATGCTGACGTCACTGTGATCAAGCGGTTTTTGGCGTCTTGCCGCCTTGCTCTTGCGACTGCTGCTGCTGCGGCTGCTGCCACCACCCCCACCATCCCCGTTGCCGCTTCCTCCGGTGCTGCTGCTGCTGCTCCGCCGTTCTTTCCGCCGTCTCCCCCTGTCCCCGATCGCGCTACCCGCTAGTTGCTCACTAAAACCTGTCTCCGCATTCTGCGCGATACTGGCCTGGAACCGACCAATAAGAACCCGAGGAGATCTTCCTGCAGCATACCTCTTGCCTGGTGCCGCTCGCAAAGTTTCCGGCGGTTTGCTTGATTTGCGGAACCCAAGAAAACTAGAGACGGTCAGTAACACTCCCAAGGTCCCGGCGGGGCTCTGTGCGACATTTGGCTTCGTGGTATTGGTCAGCGACGAAAGCGACTGCATCTGCGACGTTCAAAAGATGGGCGTGCGACAGGGTAGCTGATGGTAATTTGTGTCAGCCACTAATGGACAACACTGATAGCGGAACTTATAAGAATGCAGCCTCACCCACTAGCGGAAAACGCTCACCAGAAAGTGCAATTGTCTTTAGCTGTTTGCTAATTTTCAATCTCACAAACATATTGTTGCTCATTCGACTTCAAAATCCGACAGCAGGCTATGTAAGTGCATTCAAACGTTAGCGGATTGGTTGTACCGAAGCAGCGAATTTGGAGGGCAGTGCTGTGGTGAGGGCTGGAAGCAGGCCTGTCGATTGACGGGCATATGCCCTTAATGCCCTGAAATTCCGGGCTACTTTCGCTCCAGCTCGACTGCATAAAGTGTTAGGGTCACCCTGCACCCGTGCCACTAAGTGCTTCGTTCGACCCTTCCCCGGATGCGTTAAGTGCTCCAAACAGGCCTTCCCCACCCACAAAGTTTTGATTTCCGGTTCTAGGGAACCCCCCCCCCCCCAAGAAATTCTGCCTGACCCCCCCACTCCAACCCCCTCCCCTTTCTCCTTGGTTGCACAAAAGTGCACCAAGGGGATTTTTTCCCTTAGCGTTTTCTAGCCAATCCCGTGTTTGTGATCTCTCTTAGTCAGCTTTGGAGCAGCCGAACTTTCCCTTAGCTAAGAGAGTGTAAGTGCAAGCCCGGATATCAAGTTACCACTTTGGCCTGCGCCCGTGACCGTTAAGGGCGCCAAAACACTCAGCTACGGCCAATACAGGGTCAGATAGGGAGGAGCTGGGGGCTCCAAGTAAGGGCCCCAGGAACATCGACAGGCCTGGCTGGAAGGGCAGCAGCGAGAGCTGTGCATGCAAGACGAAATCGCTCACCAATGTCCCACAGGGAACAGCCTGGCTTTCAGAAAAAAATGTTTGCTTTGAAGGATTTGGTCCTGCACCACCAGAGAATGCGATAAGCATTTCCACTAATGTTTATTATATTTGCAGTGAATTCGATTAAGCGACAAGTTGCCATTCGCTCATATGACAGCGTAAGTGACGTTTTGTTTGGTTAAGCGTTAGGACTTCAACTACGGGAGTCCGTCGGATTCCCAAGCTTCAGGCTGTCAATTATGAGATATGGCTGACGCGATCCTGAAAATCCATAGGGCCCCTCTTGCGCCAACCGCGTTGAATCTGCACTTCCGAGCCTTGCTCACAAGCCTCGCCCACCAACCAGTGCTTAGCTGGTTTGAACCCAACCTCTAGCTTCGGGACAAGTGAATGAGCTGGTCCAGCGGGAATTTACCAAAGCTGGTGAAACGAAAGGGCAACAACGAGCTGGAAACGTCTGGTTCGGCCGCTCGGCTCGGACGGACGCCCCAACAGTTCCGTAACCAACTCACGTTCAGGAAGCACGTTTCGTATTTTAGGGGCACAGTGCAATGCTCACTCTCACCTCGTTTCGCCTCGTCCCTTCCTATTTGTTCGTGCAACATTCGTTTCTGAAAAACCTCTCGCACGCATCTGTAACCACACTCACACCCTCTTGAGCAGCGTTTTCTCGCCCCATGGAAGTGATGGTTGACGATTCCAGGTCTTTTCCCCAACCACCCAGCTTCAACCCTAGCAACAGTCAAAATGGCTACCAAAACCATTCAACCCATCGCACACCTTTCAACTTCGAATCGCCCTCCTCGACACTGCTCGGGCCTTCTCACAACCTGCCTTCGTCGTTGCATAATCTTTCCGAATCGGCCGCGTCATATTCCCTCGCAGGCGGCGCGGACTCCATGGCGAGCGCGTCGTCCGTGCCGCCGCGTCCCTCACGGATGAAGCAGCCAGGACACAGGCGAAGCCATTCCGACGGGTTTCAGCTGGACCCATCGCTCGTAATAACCCCGAATGGGACTGCTGGTAGAAATGGCGGGGGGGGTGGCGGGGGCAGCACCGCGCAAGGCGCGGGCGGGATGGAGTTCTGGAGCATCCAGGAGGAAACGTCGTCGCACAGCGAAGAATCTATTCAGTCGCCAGGCTCCCACTATGCGCGCAACCGACACAGTAACACTCAAGGCCTTGGCAGCGGCGCGCCGCAGCAGAAAGACAGGGCATCGTCGCTCTCGTTTGAAAACAGAAATGGCGATTATGGAGCTCAAAGCGGCTCGAGAGACGACGAGGCGACGTCGAGAATGCAAAATGTAGCCCCGCTTCACAGGCCACGTCAGCAGCAGCAGCAGCAGCCGCAGAAATACCAGGACGAGCAGAAACAGTTCAATAATTACCACGACCAGCAGCAGCAGCACCAGCATATGCCCCCTGCATACCGTTCCCCTGCGCCCTCCGGCCCCGCAAGTCAAGGCGGAATTCCCGGCTCGGAACGGCGACGGGCCAAGTCGCCGCTCCCGACTGGTAGAGTTGCCGGCGTGCCGCATGTCCGGCCGCTCGAAGTCAGCCGGCCTCCCAAACCCAACGGCCCGCGCCATCGTCGCATTCGATCCGAAGATTTTTCGTTTTCGGCATTTTCCCCGAGCAGCCCGTCAAGTGGGGCCTCTGGCTCTCCTGTTAAGTCTCCCGTCGGGACCTTTTCGCGAAACTCGCAAGACCCCCAACAAAACTCCAGCAGTCGCCTGCGACAGTCGTCGCCGTTACAAGGATCGCAGGAGTGGGCGGGAGCGACGGGGCAGGAGCAATATGGTTCAGGCCCGGGAACTGGCAGAGCCACGTCTGCACAGACGCAGCAGGCGCAGGGTAGGGCGTCACATGGCGGCGCTTCTTCGGGCTCGCCGGGGGATTGGGCTGACGTGGATTACAGTGCCGCGGAGGGCGATTCGCAAGGGACCTCCGCGTCGCAGGGTGGAACCGGGGTGCCGCATATGTCCGCAGAAGAGGAATACAAGGGTGGGAGCGCCGATCAACGGTCCACTACGAAATCGACGGCAGGGGGAAAGGGCGCGGCTGAATCGGACGGTCATGGTAGTAGCGGCGGGTGGGGCGGGTTGTGGTCGCGACGCCAGAAGCAGACAAACAGTGACCTGCAACCTTTGAATACTGCGGCCTCTAAGTCCCCTACGCCTCTCAGCATTCCCCAGTCGAGCGCGAAAACTCCGCCTGCCGGTGGTGCGACAAGCCCTATCCTCTCTTGGTTCGGTGCCGGGACCGCCATCACGCCTACAGGCTCGGCAGCCGGCTCGGAAAACTCCCACGATAGCTCGCACCAGGTCTCGCCGCACCAGGCTGTGCCAGCCCAAAGTCCTAAGACGAATTGGTTCGACAAAGGCTCGGGACTAGGTACGGCAAAGACGAACTCGTTACAGACTTCCCCGCAATTGTCTCCGGTGACTCCGCCTTCGAGTAGCGGCGGAATGCTGTCCTGGTTTGGCGGCGCAGGTCACGGCGGAAGCAGTGCGACGCACACGACCGCGTCTAGCGGTGGCGCATCTCCGCAACAAACGGCGGGCAACAGTTCCGGCGGCGGCGGCGGCGGCGGCGGCGGTGGCCTTGCGTCCTGGTTCGGCGGCGGCGTCGCTGGCGGCGGATCACCGTCGTCCGGACCGCCTGCGAAGGGGAAGGGCCATCGCCGTTCCTCTAGCGTCCCCGCCGTACCGAACGTCGTTCCTGATCCGCGTGCCGGACCGGGCGCGTCACCTCTGGGGCCCAGCGCTGCCGGCGGCGGCGGCGGCGCGAACTCGCAGCTGCTTTCCGGACCGCGCGGAAGCATGTCGCGATTAGGAGGCGGTGTTGGCGGCGGTGGCGGTGGCGGCGGCGGCGGAGGAGGAGCTGGAGGGTATGGAGGGAAAGGCGGAGTGGTTAGTTTGAAAGGCGGCCTGAAAGTGAATCTTCCAAGTACTAGCCCGTACGGTAGCCCTTACGCGAGTCCCCGAAATCCCCCGGGCGCGGGGGGATTTGCATCCCCGTACATGCAAGGTGGAGGGGGAGGCTCGCGGAAATCGATGACTCCAGGGGGGTCGCTTTGCGCAAGCCCGCGTACCGTAGCGGCGCAAAGCGAGCGGGATCAGGCGAAATTGGCGGAGATTCAGAGCATGTTCAGCAACTGGAATGCGGGGACTCCCTTGCAATCCCCGCGAAAAGGTGCTTCTAGAATCGTTTCCGGCGTGCCGCTAAGAACGCCGCAAGTGAGCGAGTATTACAGAGAGGACGGGGATTACGAGGTGGAAGAGGAAACACCCGAAGTTCTCGGTCCGTCGAACTCGAATGTTTTGGGGAAACCTTATCAGGATTTGGAGGATAAATACAAGATGTCGCCGAAGGAGCTGGGGCGGGGGAACTTCGGCGTGATTCACGTGTGCGAGAATTTGGAAACGGGCGAGCGATACGCGTGCAAGACAATCACCAAGGCTAAGCTCGAGGTACGTTTTGACGAGGCTAAAGTAGGGTGTTGGTGCTGACGCGGATCATGTGAGGGTCAAATCACGCGTAAGCTGAGTAGCATGTGGGGCAGAGGTGTTTGGGCGGCAAGATATAGGGCAGCAAAGAGTGAATGGGTGGCAAGGTGGAAGGGCGCGCATGAGGTGAGAGGGAGGAGGGATGAGTCGCAGGGGGGAGCGGATAGGTGAGGGGCGGAGAGGTGAAGCGGAGAAGGGAGGTCCCGAGGCGCGTTCTACATTATCCCAGAATCTAAATTTATGATCCTTTCCGAACCCCACTTCCCCTGCAGTGCTGGGATGACGTGGATGATGTAAAGAGGGAGGTGCATGTTCTCGAGACCCTTCGAGGACACCCCCATGTCGTCTCCATTATCGAGACCATTGAAGATGAAAAGGTGTGTACTTGCATGTAGTAACAAACAAGGCATAAAGAGTAAAAGTACAGTTTCTAAACAAACGATTAGGCAACATGAGATTATGTGAAGGGTGAGCTGTTCGACCGTATCCTTGAGCGCAATTACCCCCGTGAGAGCAGCCAAGGTGATTTGGTCGGTGATGGAGGTGCAGGCCTTCTCATTCTCTCCCTCTCCGTACATTCCCTCCCCTTTCCCTCTCTCCTCCCGTTCCCCCTCCATTCCTTGCCCCCATCCCCATATCCCCACCCTCTCGCTTTACCAGGAAGTGCACATTATCATGGAGTTGTGCGAAGGCGGAGAGCTGTTTGATCGCATTCTGGAGAGGAAGTATTACGGAGAGAGGCAGGCGGCCAAGGTGATCCGGTCGGTGGTGGAGGTGTTGGATTACTGCCACCAGCGGGGGATCGTGCACCGCGACTTAAAGCCCGAGAACATCCTGCTCGTGTCCAAGAGGAGCGACACCCGGTGCAAAGTGATTGACTTTGGCATGGCGTACTGCCTCAAGCCAGGTGAGAGAGAGGATGCTGAAGTAAGAATTAGGGAGATGTGATTTGGGTCAATTTCAAAAAGCGACACCAAGTGCAAAGGGATTGTCTTAGGCATGGCTGACTGCCTCGGGCCAGGTAAGGGTCTTGGGAATGCAGGAGAGCGAAACGGGAAAGCTTGTAAGGGGGATGAAATAGAATGGAAAGAACGATCTGGGACATCTAAGGACAAGCATCTGTGGAGGTCCGATACAGGGATGCCTTTTTCGAGCGACCAATAAAATGCACCCAATGACAAGCGCATGTGGAAGGTCTGAAACATGGATGCCATGGCGTCTGGCTTCTGGCACCAGATGCCACCAGCGGGAGATAATGTGCCGCAACTTAAAGCCTAAACGCATTCTGATCTTCAAGCTCCAATCACGTCCCCTCCTGCATTCCTTCTCGAACCCATCTCTCCTTTCACCCCTTGTCAAGCCCACCCCTCGTACGAATTCCCCTTTGAGTCTCCTACTCTTCACCCACTCACCCCCCACCCGAACCCATCCTTCCCCTCACCCCGTTCCCAAAACCATCGTTCAACTCCCTTTCCTCCATCCCCCACAAGCGAGCGCTGCAAGCTGCGTGCTGCTGGAACTATGGTGCAGAGGCCAATTGGCTCGGCTCTTTTCCCGCCTTCACAGACCTTCCCCCCCCTCGCGCACCCACTCCCCCTCTACCTTCTCTCCCTCTCCTCGATCCCCTCCCGCTACAGGTGAGCGCTGTAAGTTGCGGGCTGGAACACCCAACTACATTGCCCCAGAAGTCATAGCCAAGAACTACGGCGCAGAGGCGGACGTGTGGAGCGCGGGGGTGATCCTCTACGTGCTACTTTGCGGGTTACCCCCGTTTTGGGGGGATACCACGGAGGACGTGTTCAAGAGCATCCTGTGGCAGGAGCTGGATTTTGAGACGGAGCCATGGCCGGTCGTGAGCACGGCTGCTAAGGATCTGGTCAGGAGAATGCTGACGAGGAAATTCGACCGGCGAATCACGGTGTCGGAAATTCTAAGTAAGTTGGGGGTTGGTTGGAGGGGGGGGGGGGGGGGGGGGGGGGGGGGGCTTCTGGGTTGCTGTGGGAAGAGTGACTGTGGGTGGCAGGGGGAGAGGGAGGGGTGGTGGAGGTGGGCGAGGAGGGAGGTAAGGGTACCACGGGGGGAAGGACGTGTTGAAGAGCATTCTGTGGCAGGAGCTGGATTTTGAGACGGAGCCATGGCCGGTTGTGAGCACTGCGGCTAAGGACCTGGTCAGGAGAATGCTGACGAGGAAATTCGACCGGCGAATCACCGTGTCGGAAATACTGAGAAAGTTGGGTTGGACGGGTGAGTTTTGGGGTGGGGCAAGAGTGAGTGTGGGAGGGGGGGGTGATGGCGGGGAAAGAGTGGGGCCAGGGAGAGGGCAGGGAAGGGAAAGGAGGGTAAGGGAAAGGTTGAAGGGAGTTGGTGGGAGCATCATGCAAAGGCCTGTCACCAGGCCTCTAAGAATCTCCACAGTGGCGCATTTTCATACAAGCTTACATTCCCACATCCCACAGAGTGAAGTACTCTTTCACCCATCGATCAGTGCAAGCAACATCTCTTCTTCTGTCCCTACCCCCTTGCTTACTTGTCCTAAGCCCTTCTACCCCCCCAGTCCTGTGCTGCTTCTTCTCATAAACCCTGTTGCGACGCAACTCCTGAACCCTCCATCCTTCCCTTTTCCCATCATAATAAAAAACCTAGACTCTTTCGCCCTCCATTTCCCTGTCTTATCCCCTAATTAATTTCTCCCGTCACCCATCTCCCCTTCCCCCATCTCCTGCCATGCCCCTCACCCTCTCAGAGCACCCATGGATCAAGGCACTGACATGAGAGATTTTAACATGCTGAACAGCAGAATCGACGGCTGAGATCAGATTAGACGGTGCAATATGACAAGGGAGGGAGGGTGGATGTATGATGGTTTGCCTGTATCTTCTTTAACTTGATACTGCCACCATGTGAACTACAACCTGAATCAATCATCGGGGTCTACCGTATTCCCTGGATATAAGACCCTAGGGTCTTATGCTCAATCCCTAGAAAAAATGGGGGGGGGGGCGGGGGGGCGGGGGGGCGGGTTAACAATACTGAAGTTCTGGGTTTGCTTTTGGTGAGCACCACGACAGAGAGTTGATCGCTTGACCAATCACAACAATTTCGCCTGTCACAGTAAAATTCGCCCCTCTGACGCAGCAATTTTGCCCCCTGGCAGAGCAATTTTGCCACCTGACGCAACAGTTTCGCCCCCTGACGCGGTAAACTCGCCCCCTGACGCGGTAAACTCGCCCCCTGACGCAGCAAATCAACCTAGAAATCCAAACCACCTGACGGGGGAAGGGCGGGCCAAAGGCGGAAGCAGCACTCGGATCCTCTGCTTCGACCGGGATTCATTTTTTTTGGCGAAACTCCATTTTGCCCGTGGCGAGACGATTTTACTCGGATTTGACTCGGATTCGGCGCAAAAGGGTGTTGGATCTTACAAAATCCAAACCACCTGATGGCGCAACGAAATGGGCGCAAGAGTGGTTACACTACCGGTTTGGATTATCGACGGTCGCACGAAAGCGACGTCGCAACCACTGTTGTACAGTATTTGTATATAAACTTTGTTGTTGACACTTTGGTGTAATTCTGACAAGCAGAATGTCAAAATGGCTAAGTCAAAATTCTATATGGTTTGGCTCATAACTCCATCATTTGTTGGTCATTTGCACACAAATATGGATTTCCAGCATCTCCTTGATGTCCTCTACAAGCGGGCATGAGTTTGTTATTTTGTCAAATTTGTTCCATTTTGTCACTTTTCTCTCAACTAAGATTGCTCATAGCACATGTAAAGTCATTCTCTGTGCATCACACACATGTGTTATGTGGTGACCATTTTTTTTGCATTGTTAGTGTTATGACACCTGTTCCAGCCCCCCTGAACATTTTCAGCTATATGCAAACTGATTTGGTGGACTTTTTCTTGCAATGAAGTTAGTGTACAGAAATGCCTGGACTTAGGTTTCAATTGAAATCACCCACTTCTCCTTGAGCAAATGAGCTGATTTTTATAGGAGACTCTCACCACACATATTCCAGACCCCCACATGAAATTCACCTCATTTGCCCAAGGTTTGATATGTGTTTTAAGCCTTGCTGTGCAGCAGTCTGCAGAATTCTGTGCAGAATTGCCTGGACTTAGGTTTCAATTGAAATCACCCACTTCTCCTTGAGCAGATGAGCTGATTTTTATAGGGGACTCTCACCACACATATTCCAGACCCCCACATGAGATTCACTTCATTTGCCCAAGGTTTGATATGTGTTTTAAGCCTTGCTGTGCAGCAGTCTGCAGAATTCTGTGCAGGGTTGCCTGGAATCAGGTTTCAATTGTAATCACCCACTTCTCCTTGAGCAAATAAGCTGATTTTTATAGGGGAATCTCACCACACATATTCCAGACCCCCACATGAAATTCACCTCATTTGCCCAAGGTTTGATATGTGTTTTAAGCCTTGCTGTGCAGCAGTCTGCAGAATTCTGTGCAGAATTGCCTGGAATCAGGTTTCAATAGTAATCACCCTCTTCTCCTTGAGCAAATGAGCTGATTTTTATAGGGGACTCTCACCACACATATTCCAGACCCCCAAATGAAATTCACCTCATTTGCCCAAGGTTTGATATGTGTTTTAAGCCTTGCTGTGCAGCAGTCTGCAGAATTCTGTGCAGAATTGCCTGGAATCAGGTTTCAATTGTAATCACCCACTTCGCCTTGAGCAAATGAGCTGATTTTTATAGGGGACTCTCACCACACTTATTCCAGACCCCCACATGAAATTCACCTCATTTGCCCAAGGTTTGATATGTGTTTTAAGCCTTGCTGTGCAGCAGTCTGCAGAATTCTGTGCAGAATTGCCTGGAATCAGGTTTCAATAGTAATCACCCACTTCTCCTTGAGAAAATGAGCTGATTTTTATAGGGGACTCTCACCACACATATTCCAGACCCCCACATGAAATTCACCTCATTTGCCCAAGGTTTGATATGTGTTTTAAGCCTTGCTGTGCAGCAGTCTGCAGAATTCTGTGCAGAATTGCCTGGAATAAGGTTTCAATAGTAATCACCCACTTCGCCTTGAGCAAATGAGCTGATTTTTATAGGGGACTCTCACCACACATATTCCAGACCCCCACATGAAATTCACCTCATTTGCCCAAGGTTTGATATGTGTTTTAAGCCTTGCTGTGCAGCAGTCTGCAGAATTCTGTGCAGAATTGCCTGGAATAAGGTTTCAATAGTAATCACCCACTTCTCTTTGAGCAAATGAGCTGATTTTTATAGGGGACTCTCACCACACATATTCCAGACCCCCACCTGAAATTCATCTTTTTTCGTAGACGTGTAGTATGTTTTTCACTCTCTCCTCTGCAGGCGGGAGCAGAGCACTTTGGTGAAATGTACAACATTTGTTTTGTACTCCAATGCCACTGTTATACGGGTGCTAATGATAGGGCACTCATCTCACACTTATAGGATTACCCGTTATAGTATTGGGTGTGCTAATCATGCAAAGTTCATGCTTGTGTTTGAATTATGGGTTACAAAAACTAGTACTATACGTGCTACACAAGTACCCCTATAGCGGTACTCTCGGATGTAGGGTGTCATTCGATTTCTGACACGTGTGACAGGTCGCAGAGACAGCTCTATTTCCAGGTTGCGGAGGGAACCATGCGGATGGGATAGCTATACGTGGCAGCCTGTCATTAACCTGTCACAGGACACCATTCGTTTTTTTTAGGGGCTGCCCGTCACCATTTCGTACGAGGTCGAGGCAAAGCTGAGACCATGCAATGGCACCGCAGAACATGCAATATGCTAACATGGCAAAGAGTAGTTCGCAAATGGTCGAAGGGAAATGGTGAGAAGCCTAATATTTTGAGCCATGGGGCAGAAAATTCTTACTACGCCTGGCGTTTGAGGACAGAGCACAACCAATTCTACCAGCGAAGCAGAAGTTGGGATCAGGGTGGGTGCACCAAAGCTCGACGTCATTCTCGCCATTCCAATCTGAGTCGAGGTTCCACAACTAGTCTCACAAGCTTCCCTCTCATTCTAGTGTCGGCCTCTTATCCTGCAGGTAGAGAGTGTTTGTTAGTAACCGTTTAGCTACCTGCCATCTTCTGGCATACTTACGCGATGTCGTCCCAGCTAATCACAGACGGCTGCGGATTGTCGGTACGACTAGGGCGGGAGTCTTATGAAAGGTTAATCGCTCGTCAGGAAGAGTGGAACGAGGCGTTGTTACTTTTCGGCCTAGTGTATGTATCCAAGCGCGGTTTGTAACGCACGCTGACTTCACCGACACGTTGAACCCTTGTTTTTTAGACAGGCACCTGCTATCTTCTTACCTCTGCGACATGTCGGCTTGGATGCAGGGAGGTTGCCAAGGACAAGATTGGGGATCCTCGCGTTCGCAAAGACATAAAGATTCTGGCTCCTACCGAGCATCGGCGTTTGAGGTCTGCTGTCCCGCGTGTCCCCAGTTGTGGCAGCGAACATCGGTCGCTGTTGGACTACCAGATGGTTTTAATACCCATGATATCAGAGTGAGTTTCCTGACATGTATCCGCAACGTGTGTCGATGACACCAGCTATCTTGCTAATCCAAACTTCCATGTACCGCAGAGTCGCTGTTGTTCGCTCGACGGCGATCAGTCTCATGGTGCTGATGAACCCGCAAGATTTGTTAGCACATCCCCGCGGAGAGTACCGTACGCGTGTGCTACACTTCGACCCTAAATCTGCAATCCCAACCCATCGCCACAGCGAGCATGCCAAGGAGGTGTTCGAGTAGGTATCACTCCTTAAGCAGATGTGCGGTTTGTGTGGACGCATGATATTGATTATTTGCGACCCCCTTGCCCTGCAGCTGGCTTATCCGACAACTAGATGTGGAATACAGCCGAGGTCGCAGGGTCTCTGGCAGCCACGCCGAAGCGGTGCAGAAAGATTTGAGGGCTCGCCTAAGTGATCTGATTCTGGAGGAAGGCAGGGTAAGGAAGGAGCCTCTATTTTTATGATTTAAGCATTGTATGATATCAAGCTTGTACAAAGTAACGGGAGTGTCTGACAACCACCTTTTCACGCACATGTTGCAGATCAACAAGGTTCAGGGACAGAGGCAAGTGGGTTCCGGGCTGCATGTTACCCATGTGTTCAGCAAGTTGCTGGACAAATGGGGGGATGTCATGGCGATTCAGTCTGTAGAGCCGATGATGGTCTTAGGGAAGGGGAAAAAACAGCGCGAAAGAAATTCGGAGTATGCTGGAGTCGACCTGCAGGGCCTTCTTCGACCTGCAAGGAGTCCAGCTCCGTCCCGCCCCGGATGCAGTCATGACGACCCACTGTGCTCGAGTGGTAGAGAGCGCACCCGCACAGAACAGATCCGAAGCGGTAGAGGGACAGATAGACGTACCTGCCGCAAACCGGGACGCAAATCCAAGAGTTGGGTTTATTTCATATTCCCGCCGACCTGCACCGAGGGATGCAGTACTCAGTGGCCCGACATCAAGGGCAGCCACTGCTGACGAGCATGATAGGTCTGGAGATAGGCAGCACAGGTTTGCTGATCGGGTTAGGATGCCGCAGGAACGCGAAGCACGGACGGAGACCGACTTGGCAAGCGTAGCAGATGAAGGCGAGGAGGGTGTAGAAGATCCACAGCTGCCAAGTCAGGTCGAACAGGCAGAGGAGCACTGGAGGAAGGCGGCTGATGAAAAGCGGATGGTCGAAGCAGAAGCCAAGAGTAGACGGGCTGAAGAGATGCAGCGGCGCAGTGATGGCGGCACCGATCCTACCGTCTCTTTCCCGGGAACTGGAGACATACGTGAAGCATGGGAGCGTGGGGCACGAGCCGCTGCAAGGGCACACGTGGGAGAGGCAGGAGAGGAGCTCGCCAGCAATGTGCGGCAGCATATCGAGGAGGATAGGGGATACGTGAAAGTTCGCTTGCCCAGCCTAAAGCGGAAGGCGGCAGAAGAGGCCCGGAGAGGGGACGTCGACGTGCCAGAGAATTCGGGAGAGGCGAAAAAGAAGGAGGAGAGCAACGCGGGTGCTAAGGCTCATAAGATGGTGGAGGTAGAGGCGCACCAGAATGCAGAGGATGCGGCCCATCGGTTCGTCGATGCAGAGGCGGGTACTTACGGCAGAGGACGGGGCGCCAAAGGAAGCAGAGTCTGCGGCGCAGCAGAAGGTGGGTGCAGAGGCGGTCAAGGGTGCGGAGGCAGTCGCGCGTAAAGAAGCGGGTGCAGCAGCAGAGCTGACGTCGGAGGCAGTCGAGCTGATGGTTGTGGAGGCAGTGGCGCAGAAGGAATCAGAGGCAATGGCGAGCCAGAAGGATGAGGCAGCGGCGCAGCAGAATGATGAGGCAGACGCACATAAGGAATCAGCGGCAGCAGCGCAGCAGAAGGATGAGGGTGCGGCGCCCAGGATGGTTGAGGCAGAGGCGCAGAAGGAATCAGAGGCAGCGGCGCAGCAGAAGGAGGAGGGTGCGGCGCCGAAGATGGTTGAGGCAGAGGCGCAGAAGGCATCAGAGGCAGCGGCGCTGCAGAAGGAGGAGGGTGCGGCGCCGAAGATGGTAGAGGCAGAGGCGCAGAAGGCATCAGAGGCAGCGGCGCTGCAGAAGGAGGAGGGTGCGGCGCCGAAGATGGTAGAGGCAGAGGCGCAGAAGGCATCAGAGGCAGCGGCGCTGCAGAAGGAGGAGGGTGCGGCGCCGAAGATGGTTGAGGCAGAGGCGCAGAAGGCATCAGAGGCAGCGGCGCTGCAGAAGGAGGAGGGTGCGGCGTCGAACATGGTTGAGGCAGAGGCGCAGAAGGAATCAGAGGCAGCGGCGAGGGAGAAGGATAAGGCAGCGGCGCTGCATATGGAGGAGGCAGACGCACATAAGGAAGGAGAGGCTCGGAATAAGGCAGAAGCAGCGGCGCGGCAGAAGGCGGAGGCAGAGGAGCAGAAACAGGCTGCGGAAGAGGCACTACAACTGGCTCGGGCTGAAGCGCGGAAGAAGGCTGTTGTAGAGGCGCAGAAGAAGGCGGAGGGTGTTGCGCAGAAGATGTCAGAGGCCGAGGAGCAGAAGCAAGCTGAGGCAGACGCACGAAGGAAGCCAGATGGAGAGGACGGTTCAGATGGGAATAAAATGGTACAGACAGAGGGACGGGAGACGGCGGGTGCTGAGGGGCACATCATCGCAGAGGAAGAGGGGCAGCATAACGAGGAGGCAGCGTCGCAGGTATTCGCATACCGAGAGACGCAGAGCATGGCAGAGACAGGGCGTCAAAATACTATGGAGGAGGTTCGTGTCGTCCCGGAGGCTGGAGTGGGGCACTACGAGGGAGATGCGCTGGAAACAGAAGAGGAGCAGAATGAGGAGGATACGGTACATCCGGCAGTACGGATATTTTTGGGAGGAAGTCCGACGCGGGGACCAGGAACCGGGGTAGAGGGGCCATGGAGGGTGGCAGACGATGGGGCGCCTAGGGATACAGTGGGTCTCAACAGGCAGAGGCGGCCCACCCTTCACCAGAGAGCAGTGGAGAGGAATCTCGGCCAAGGCGGGGTGGCAGAAGCGTTTTGGCAGGTAGAGTGGGTCGAGGCAGAGACGGCAATACGGCGGATGCTGCATCGGACGAGTACAGTCCTGGTCGAACAAGGTGACAGGTTCGTCGAGGCCGAAAGCTGGGACATAAGCCCGGCAGAGGTAACGCGTCGTCTGACGCTCTTAGCCCGAATGGTGACGCAGACGTTCTGCAACTTGGCGGCCCGCAACAGCAGCATCAGTCGCGACGTGGCCGATCTGACCGTCCATTACTGTCGCGACGCCCTGGCCAACCTGGAAGAAGTCCGCCATGGAAACGAGGAACGGCGGCGCCAAGCTGAAACGGCGGCCAGGTTTCGCGAGGAGGTGGACACGAGACTCTCCAACTTGCAGGAGAGTATCGTAAGGGTGAGTGATCAGGTTCGCCAGTCGGGAGGGGGGATGGCGGAGGGCACGTTAAAGGGGGTGGAAGAGAGGTTGAGAGAGGTTCTGAGAGAAGAGTCTGAGCGGCGGAACAGGGATAGACTGCAGGACGAGGAGCGGAGGCAGAAGGCCATGAGGAAGGAAGCAGACGCCGCAGAGAGACGGAAGAAGGAACAACAGCAGGAGGAAGCGCGTCGGCAGAAGGAGATGAGAGAGGGAATGAAGGAGATGAAGGAGGCGATGATGAAGGAGATGAAGGCAGAAATGAAGGAGATGAAGGATGGGATGGTAAACCAGATTGTGGGGAGGTTGAGCGCGGTTTTGCGAGAAGAATCCGAGCGGCAGAAGAAGGAGAGGCAAGTGGACGCGGAGCGGCGACAACAGCAGGACGCGAAGAGGAAACAAGTGGCGGACGACGAGGAGAGACGCAAGAGGATACAACTGGACGAGCAATGGCGGAAGGAGGAGGAGGTGAAGAGGAAGGACGTAGAGGCCACAGAGCGGCGGAGGAAGAACAAACATCAGGAGGAAGAGCGACGGCAGAAGGAGGTGGAGGCGGGAATGAAGGAAGTGATGGAGGCTGTGAAGGAGATGAAGACGGGGATTACGGGGTGGAAGGAGGGGATGATAAGTGAGGTGGAAAAGCGGCTGTCAATGGTTCTGAGATTGGACGCAGAGCGGCGGCAAAAGGAGGAGCAGGGTAGGAAGGCAACGGAGGGAGATCGGCGACAGAAGGAGGATGCGCAGAGGAAGGAGGCAGAGGAAGCAGAGCGGGTGGAGAGGGAGAAACAGCAAGAGATGGCGCTCCTGCAGAAGGAGGAGGCGCAGCGGAAAGATGCAGAGGAGGCCGAGAGGCAGGAGAGGGAGAAACAGCAGGAGATGGCGCGCCTGCAGGAGGAGGACAGGCAGAGGAAGGAGGCAGAGGAGGTAGAGCGGCGTCAGAGGGCGAAACAGCAGGAATTGGACCGCCTGCAGAAGGAGGAGACGCAGAAGAAGGAGGCAGAGGAGGCCGAGCGGCAGCAGCGGGCGAAACAGCAGGAGATGGAGCGCCTGCAGAAGGAGGAAGCGCAGAAGAAGGAGGTAGAGGAGGCCGAGCGGCAGCAGAGGGCGAAACAGCAGGAGATGGAGCGCCTGCAGAAGGAGGAAGCGCAGAAGAAGGAGGCAGAGGAGGCCGAGCGGCAGCAGAGAGCGAAACAGCAGGAGATGGAGCGCCTGCAGAAGGAGGAAGCGCAGAAGAAGGAGGCAGAGGAGGCCGAGCGGCAGCAGAGGGCGAAACAGCAGGAGATGGAGCGCCTGCAGAAGGAGGAAGCGCAGAAGGAGGCAGAGGAGGCGGAGCGGCAGCAGAGGGCGAAACAGCAGGAGATGGAGCGCCTGCAGAAGGAGGAAGCGCAGAAGAAGGAGGCAGAGGAGGCGGAGCGGCAGCAGAGGGCGAAACAGCAGGAGATGGAGCGCCTGCAGAAGGCGGAGCAATGCCGAGCAGAGAAGAGGGCCAGACTTGCATCCTACGCGGAACAGCAGCGGCAACTGGAGGCAAAGGCAAAGGCGATGGCTGAAGAGACGGAACGATTGGCAAGGGAGATGGAAGAGGAGGATTTGACCATGCAGGGGGAGGGGACCTGGACAGGAGTCGAGGAGGATTTGACCATGCAGGGGGAGGGGACCTGGACAGGAGTCGAGGAGGAAATAGTTGAGGGGTTGGGGACTTTGCTGTTGATTGAGAGCGGGGAGGCGAATGTAGCAGAGGGCGTGCCTAGTGTTCCTGTACGGAATGTAGAGGTGTTCAGGAGGCGGCCTAGACAAGAGGACAGGGAGCCGGAGGGTCATGCGGCTAAGAGACGGCGTGCAGCTGGAATACAGGAGTTGATACCCATAATCCAAGGGGAAAAGAAAGGGATGAAGATCGACAAGTGTGACAACAGGAAAAACGCCGTAGTGGACGACAAGGGTAAGACTTTGGGTGTCTGCCTGCCGTTCAGGGGAAGCGGGTTCTCTCAACGGGGCGAGGGAGCTTTGCAGAAGTGGACGTCTGAGCAGACCGTCGGCGGCCGGAAGCGGAACCTCGGCTCTCACAAAACGGTGTGGGAGAGGGCATACACGGTCGCAGTCTGCTGGAAGTTCTACTTCCCGGATATTGACATGCAGGCATACGGCATGAATCCAAACCGTATAAACAAGTGGCGGGAAGACCTCGACTTCACAACGTGGCTTCCAACAGGGGTGTGGAGCGTCATCAACGAACTCCACCTGGACAAACCGGACGGGTGAGTGTTTATGTGATGTACAGTTGCAACTTCTAAACACCCGCGAAGTTCGATGGTTCTGATCTTGCGACACTGGTGTCTTGTGCAGATTCTCACTCGTTCAAACCAACACGGCTCTTCGGCAGCAGCAGGGGGATGGCTTTCAGGTAGCTGCCTGCGCTGGTGTCGGAATAACTGCGTGGCAGAAGATGGTGGGAGGCGTGGAGGGTGAAAACGGCTATTCGACGGAAGAACACGCAATCGGACTTGCCGCCACATTGTCTGTAATGTGGGCCGCATCCACGAATGTGGACCAGACCCAGTGGGAGACGGGCGCAACAACAGCTGCACGTGGAACTTCTACGGCCATAGCATCTTCTGCTGCCAGATCGTCCACTGCTGCCACCGCCTCGTCGGATGCCTCGTCATCTTCTGCGGCCGATGTGCCCTCTGCCGTCCACAATGCCCTTGCGACGCTTGCAGCCTCGGTTGCTTGCGTTGCGGTTGAGGCGATGAGGTCGGTAAAGGATCAGGAGCATGACAAGGAAGCGTGGATTCTGCCCCTGTCGGATGCGCTGCTGAAAGCGCTTCCGGCAGAGTCGCGAGCGGCCGAGGATGCGAAGCGGATGACGAGGATGGTGGCAAAGGTGGTGACCTCTTGGTGCCTATGCAGCATGGCATCAAGAGGCCTTCGCCAGCACCAGGGCGTCTGGCTCGGAGTCCTGCAGAAGAAGTTAGGCGGCCGGGATACCACAACAGGGGCGGATAAGGAGAAGAAAACCAAGAAATCGTCCGCGAAGGGGAACGCGACGAAGGATGCGTCGACGGAGGAGAACACCGGCACTGGCGGCCAGGATTGATAGAGGCAGACGGGTTCTTTGGAGGTCTTGTTAGTACCGCAGTAGAAATAGATTTTCCTTTTCGTTTTTTTTATTTAACCGTGTATAAATATAGGTGTTGTTGTATACAATACAATGAGAGATGTATTTTTGCTATGCAAACCTTCACTACACTAGCAAAATTTGTAGGGCGCGTATGGAGCTAGCAATGCAGCCGATAGAACTCGCCATCAAAGGGAGGGCCAGGCGAATAAAAAAATTGACGACAGGACGGCCTTCTACGACACTTAATCTACGTTTAATACTCGGCTTCTACGAAGAGGTAGAAGTATGGGGCTAAACAATCGCATAACATCTTGTCTAAGGGAGCACCTTGTTAAGAACGTATACGGTATTCATATGCACAGACCTTTCTGCTATGGAGATTGAATTCCTCGACGCCGAATTCTGGAGGCAAATTGGAAACGCCACTATACCGCAGAAAAACCGACGTGTTGATAATATCTACCGTCATGGATAGGATCTTCGTTGCTACTAGTAAAATATGACACTGCTTTGCCCAGAAACATATGCTGAGACTGAATAAATCCACGCAAAAGTCTACCGAGTGACCTAAGAACACACATCTACAATCGTGAGAGTGAATTCATCGACGCCGCTCTGTAGAATAAAATCGTATACGATACGACATGACTCCGCAGAATTTCGCCCGGTGTATACCATCGATGTGTGCTTCATTGCATACACCAGAAAAACATTCTACGAAAAACAGCGCGCCCAGGGAATAAGGTGGCATACAAGCCCCAAATCGGGCTTCTACAGAGACAGACAAGTGCCTGTAGTGCATATTCGATACAACCGGAATAAAGTACCCAAATAACTAAACCGCCCCACCCTTAAGGTACATGCCCCCTCATTTCTGCTCCTTGCGTTTCGACGCTTCGCCCTTCGCCTTTTCCCGTTCCGCCTTCTTCGCCGCAGCGGTTCGTTGTTTCTCCTCTTCCGCCTTCTTCTGCGCCATGTGTTCCTTGTGGATCTCCTCCCACTCATCATCACCAAACAGCGAAGTTGCCCACTCCTGGTCGCGAAGGCCCTTCTTGACTAACAGCCAGCCCACTCTGCGTTGCGCCAGGTCGTTGACGGTCCTCTTTTCCGTCGACGAACCGGTCTTCTGTTTCTTGATGGTCGGAGTCTCATGCAGCACAGCCAGGCCGTTGGTGAATTCCGTGAAGTTGCACACGAGTAAAACCTCGTCCAGCAGCTTAATGGCCGTTGCGGTCGCCGCCTCGGAGCTGTCTTTTCTTAGCGTCTCCACGGAAACCATGACACGATGCACGCGACGCATCTTTCGCTCGCATGCACCCACAGCCATCCCGGGCGTACCTTTGACAGCGAACCGGGAATATGCGGTGATGAAGCTGGAATTCTTGTCCTTCTTCTTATACCGGTCGAACTCTGCAAAGACTTCGCGCAGTGACCGGCCGCCCATGATGAGGCTTGGCTGCACCCACACTTTCCAGGCAGCAGCAACAGTGGTGGCTTCGCGCCAAGACACAACGACCACGACGAAGAATTCTTGGACGGCAACTGGTGCTTTGGATGCGTCCGTTGCCTGGTTTCCTCCTGTTCCCGCGCTCTTCGACGATCCGTCGATCTCTGCAGAGGTGTTTGCCGCGTCATCCCTGGCCGCAACAAACCTCTTGTATGCTTCGAACTCTGCAATGACCCGAGCCTTGTCCTCTCACTCAGCGGCGAGTTTCTCCCTCAGTTCAGCGTTCTCCATCGCCAACTGCATTTCACGTCCTCTCAAAATCCCAAGCTCCTCCCTGAGCATATTGGCGGTGAGGTGCATCTTATGCAGCTTCTCTTCTGCGGTCGTGCGAAAGATAGCGTCCTGCAGAAACCAGCACGGCAGAACTCAGCATGAACGAATAACTCCTCTCTACCACTAATAGCAGGCACTTACTGCTTTGGCGGTGGTTTGGCCGGTTGCCCGAAGCTTCTCGCCCTGGAAGTGAGAGATAGCGACCAGGTACGCCCACTTTTGGAACAGCGGGTGGTTGCACAAGGGGCTCATCTGCACATATGGATGCCTCTCGCAATTGCACCGCGGGTTTCTCACGCCGTGCTGATGGCAGAACGCCCACATCATAGCCAGATCCTGTGCAACAACGAGGCGTCCGATGCTGGCGAGGGTGTCTAGGAACCTCGCCCCAACATAGTGCCTCTTCAGCGGATCGGTCTGCGCAGCGTTCCATTCTTCGACCTGACGGGACGAGTATGCAGGAGAAATGGGACGGTTCATCATTGCGTATCAAAATTAAGCTACGAACGCGAAGACTGTACACTAGCACGTACCTTCTTCCAACCCTCTTCGACCCAGGGGAAAATGTGAAGCCTCAAGAGATCCAAGAGCTGCAACCACTCATCCTTCTCCTTAACCTTATGCCGCGGAAGCTTGGCGCGGGCTCTGCCGATGTAGTAGTCTCCACGATCCCCGCTGAATCCTGCCAGCAGCCAAACCGGCTTGAACGGTATGCCGAACACATAACACCTCCGCAACTCCCCCTGCGCCCATCCGCCCAGAGTGCCGATATCGTTGTCGGAGCAACCGTCGTCATGGAGTTGTTGCGCTCCGGATCTGCGGAATGCATGTGTTACCTTGCTCAGAATCCATCTCGCCTTCGTCATGGCCCACTTAATCCAGGTGTTATGCGTTTTGTAGTGCATCTCGTCTTGCTTCTGCTCTCCCTGGCCGCCCTTCTTCAAAGAAAAGAAGAGGTGCGCTTTCGTCCACAAGATCGGTTCAGAAAAGTCGAGAGGCTCGACGATACCGGGGCCGTAGCGCAGAGGAACGAGGTCGTAGATGAAATAAAGCCACAGGAACACATGGCCCATTCCGCAGAGCCGCCAGTCCCTATGCCTTGCAAGAAACTGATGATTCAGCTTGTTGTTGGGGTTGGTCTTCGACTTCCTGGAAACAACGACGAGTACGAAAACGTCCAGATAGTCGTCGAGGTGTGATGTGCTCCGCGTCATGCGGACAAAGAGGTTCCCAAGTCGAATCTTTCGAATGCTGCACCCTCTTCCGAGAAATTGGTGTCCGAGGTGCATCATAACCGGGACTTGCAGAGCCTTCCAGAGAGGAAGCGAGATTTGTGACGGAGGCGTCCGCCACCAGATCTCTAGGAGCTCTTTTCGCAGAAAAGTAAGATGCAGCGTCCTATACTGGCTTCCCGTATAGCAATCACCAATTGATCCACGGGTTTGATCTCGACCATCCCTGCATAGAATAGCACAGTAATTAGGTAAAGCATGTAGAACAACATTCACACAAACAGAAAGCACCCGTATACGTTACTCACGCGACTTGCTCGTCGTTCAGATCCTTCAGCTTCACTTTGAAAAAATCCCGAGCATCCTTGATCCAGTCCTTGGTCAGTGTGATGGAGAAGCCGTAGAGCCTCGCCTCGCACCTGGCAAGGCATCCCATTGCGTTCATCTTTGCCTTGATCATTGAAGCCGTGCACCCCTTTGCCTCCTTCCCCACATATTTCTCGACGTCTGGCCGCATTTTTCCACGCAAAAACTTTGCCTGCTCGTCAGTTTCGCAGAAGAGATACTCGATGTATCGGCCGAGCCTCCATTCCGTGATTCGCGGCCCGTGCAGATGAATCTGCCACTCGTCAGAGCTGCACGACCACCCATCGTTTCCCAAGTTATTGCTCATATGAAACCCAACCTCGTCATGCAGAGAGGGAGCAAGGCTATCTGCCACAGGGACATCTACCATAGTTGCCATGAAGATGATCACCCACCACTTGAAGTGTAGAAAGTGGAAACAATAGTGCCTTCTCGTCCCGGCCTCTATCAGTCGAAGCGGGATTGTTGAACGCCGGATCCTGCTCTCCTTTTCCGCAACGTCGGTCTGCCGCTGCGCATTTCCGGGGGCCACAGCCTGCTCGACATGGCTCGCAGAATCGGGAGGTCGTCGTCGTCCCGGCGATGATTCTCCCTCCTCTTCTGCGTCAGAGTGATCTCCATCCTCCTCGTACCGTTCTTCGGGTGCACCGGGTCGTGGGCGCACTCCATCGCCTCCCGGCCCTTCACTCTCTTCTTCACTCCCCTGGACTTGAATCCGGACGGATGGTTCGTAGATACCACCCTGAAACAAATCCTCCTCGGTCGCCTCAAACTCGCTATCGTTCTCGCGATCCTGTGCGTAGTCTGGGTCAGTATTTTCAACGTCCTCTAGGTCTATTTCTCCATCCTCTGCGCCCTGGGCTGCCATGGGGCGAGAGTGGACCGAGCTGTCGGCCATTCACAGATTCCTAATTTATTAGCTAGCAACCGAGACTAGACGAAAGAATCGGATGGTGACAGCCGCGGTAGGTGGTAACGATTCGCAAGTGTGCAGATAACATAGGCAGAATGCTTAGTGGGCTAAGCGCAGAAGGCGTAAGAGAGTCTGTGCTTCAGACGTCTACACATTGGTCGTCGAACACCGCCTACAACTTGCGTTTACATATATATCTGCGCCTACAACTTGCGTATACAGGGTCGCTTGACTGTCCCGTACCGTATAGCTCTGTCACACTTTGTTTTACCGCTTTAATTCTCTACAACGAAACAACGAAAATAAGTTCCTACCATTATACGGATATAATCATCTATGGAACCCTTATGCTTGTACATAACTTTCGTGGGTTCGACGATATTATGGATTGGGAGCGAATACCTTTACCGATAAAAGAAGCCTAACGTCGAAGATGTCCGCCTACAAGAGCGGACGACCTATGACAATTGTTCCGGGCAAATACAAACAGTTCTACCGACAAAATATTATACCACACACATCTGCGCCTACATATGCGACCTAATAAGTACGACTGCAGTTATCCTAACCGGGCTGACCCAAAAAAAAAACCCACTCTATACGACCTACGTCACTATGTCGAGGATCGCCAATGTTATGCCAGTGGGCCAAGCAGGCTTAAAAGATTACGCTGGTGGACTAACAGGTGCTGGAAGAAAAGATCTCAAAGGGCTTGCGGAACATGAAATGCAAATGAAAAGGAGCAAATGAGCACGAAAACATCTATTCATACCCATCCACCACACACAGAAGCCCGTGTCCAGATCTGGTCATCCAACCCTGGGCTGGATGATTCTCCCGCCAAAAAACAACAGTTGGGATATGGTCCTACTAGACGCTGATTGGCTCTTGCAGCCTTGGGACTCTGACAACAACTGTTGCCATGGCCACGTGTGCAGAACACCTACAGTTGGTAAACAATGACTATAAAACACAATGAGCAAACGTAGGATGCTACACTTGAACTCATGTTATTTATAAAACACATAACATCAAAGGTATAAAGGAACACACGTGCTGCAGCTTTAAGGTGGCAGCAAAAAAAAAACCGAGTTAAAGCATATAACGACGCAAGGAAGACCAGTTGGTCGCAACCGGCCATGCGACCGGCGGTCGTCACTTGTCGGCCAAAGAGTTACGATGGCGAAACATGTCATTCGCGACAAACATCACTGGCACAAAGGGTCAGGGCAGGTTGGTTGGAACACATTTTTCACGGTCAGGTGGGCGCTGAATTGTGGGCGGCTGGCCGTGTCGTATGCGGCGGAGCCTTGCGCCCAAGCCCTTCGGAATCCGGAACACACGGATCCAAGGCCTCGGATCATGGGGCAAACGCACTCGGAACTCCGCCACAACGTCGTAAGAGTCCCACCTGTAGAGTGCGCGACTGTTAATAGAGGTAAATGGTGATCGACGGGGGTGGGGAGAAAACGAGTAGAAAGGCTTTCGACAATCTGCAGGTATAAACCCAGCACATCCGATGGTAAACTGCCGAGAAGCAGGGTAGTGCGAATTTCACCTCATCAATCATCGAAAATGACCGGCCTCCCAACTCAAAAAAGGACCCCTCGCCCTCCCCCCCCAATACTCGGCAGTTTCACATTTTTCCGATGGATACAGTCACTCATGGCGCGGTTCTTGCGGGGGGAAGCTGGGACGGGGGAACTTGGGGGAGTTGCGGGTAACTACCGTAGACTAGGGCGGGGCAGCGGCGGACAGCCGGCTCCTCCTGTCCAGTCACCACCGCGCGCCTTTTCCCTTCAAGGATTCGTTGTCATTCGCGACAAGTTGTCAGCCAAGAATGTGCGTTCACGTGCCATTCTCGCCAGGCCACCCATTTTCTCTCTTTTGTGGCTGCAGAAGTCACTCGTTTGTGCGGCCAACTTCGATTAGACGATCGCCGCTCGTCTGTTTGAGAGTTTGGTTGTTGTGTGCGGCTGGTTGGCGATGTCACTGGGACCGATTTAGGTCAGGTGTAGCCGTCGTCCGTGCGGGATGTGGCCAATCTGGCAGGCTCCATCAATTGGCTGAGTTCGCTTCACGCGTAATGGTGGTACTGTACAGTGCGTATAGTATATACCACACTGAGACGGCTCCCGGAGCCGTTCAGGTGAACAGATACCCGTGACTCCTGAAGGCACTGTTTGGTACGGATTCACAACGTTTGAAGCTGGCGGTGGTAGTACGGCCACATACTAATGAGACGGCTGCTCGAGCCGCCGTTCACCCGTGATGGTGGTATCTGTCCCATATGAGTCACTTGAAGGCTCTGTTTGGGACCAGTTCACAACATTAAAGTTGACGATGGTATCTACCACATACTAATGAGACGGCTGCTCCCCGAGCCGCCTCGGGCTGGGTTCCTGTACAGCACGCTCGGCGGAAAATTTTCCCCCATCAGCGGAGTCCTCCCGCTGCGGACCCCTCCAAGGCTGGGTTAAGTTAGGTTTTGCTGGCGGCGGCCTGGGGCCTCCGGCGCGAGAGAGATGCGCATCATGTTTCCTCGTTTTGGTGTAACCTTTCCGCGGCCTCGCAAGTATTCAGCTTCCGCGGAAGTTCCGCGTCCTCATTCCTCGTACTAAAAGCCACGAAGCCCATAGCTTTGCTCACACTTCCCGTCAGTAACCCATCATCGACCCATGCCTTGGCCTTCTATGCTCCACGATCGCCGCCGCGCTCTCTCTCGCTCGCCGCGCTCTCAAGAGCGATTTCTGAGGAACATGGTCATCATTATGCCAACTTCCGGCTGCGGCCGCCGCATTGGGCTTGTCTCGCTGCTGGCGACTCTGATGATCGTAGCAGGTGAGAACTTTGATTAAAGGAGTTAAAGCTCCTGTTATAGTAATCGTAATCAGCGTCGTTGCAGGTGAATTGCCGTTCCAAGTCATAGCAGCGCAGCCAATGATCGCTGCTGCTGCTGACTGTCGCCGACGATGGTCGGTGCTGATGATGATGCGGTCGTGGTGATAGTCGCCCACCCATGATCGTGATCGTCGCCCGGCGATGGTGATCATCGCCAGTGATGAGCCACGCACATGGTTCTCGTGATAGTTGCTGCCGTCAACTGAGAATAACCGTCGCCATCGTCGCTGGTGAGGGTCATCGCTGGTGAGGGTCGTCGCTGGTGACAATCGCCGCAATGCCTCTCCTCTTCTGCCACCTGTCTTTCCTTCCTCCGCCCCAACTGAGTTGCATTCACCAGACAGAGGCTGATCGTCTGATTGCCACTATGCCTTTCTTCTGGTTGTCAAGATCATTCCTTCCTTCACCAGGCAGAGGCTGATCTTCTGATCTCTATCTCCAACTCCCCTCTCCTCCCTCTACCCTCTCTCTCCTCTCCTCTCCTCCCCTCCCCTGTCCCTCCAGCCTCCATGCCTCACGCCAAGGCTCTTGTCCTGCCACCAGCCTGTCCTCAGGGGAAAGTGTGGAACGCCGACGTGGGAGTCTGTGTCTGTGAGTTGATGCACTCTGCTGCCGCCACTGCTGCTGCTGCCGCTGCTGCTGCCGCCATTGCCGCTGTTGCTGTCGGCACCATTGCTGCTGTTGCTGCTGCCGTCTCAATCTACCCTGCAAGATCTCTCTCCCTGCTGTAGATCCTTCAGAGAGCAACAACCCTAGCCAGGCCTGCTCTAGCACCACCTTGTTCTCTTGCCTCTCTCTCACCCGCCCAATCCTCTGCGCCCGTCTACCCCCTGCGCTGTGCTCCTCTGTGCCGTGCCTCCACCAGCCACGTGCCGCATTGCCAAGGGATGCCCGTCCAATTACTGCGACAACGGACTCTGCTTGTGCCGGCCTGGTCTAGTCATGCTCCCCGATGGAAGATGTGCCAGTGAGTGACTATGTTGATGGCTGGTGTGATGTGAGCGACTATGTTGAGGGTGCTTTCTCATGATACATGCCCCGTGCCCGTGTCCCGTGATACTATATTCCATGCCCTATGCCCCATGCTTCGTGCCTCATGGCCCTTGCCCCATGCCCCATGCACCATGCACCATGCCCCGTGCCCCATGCATGCACCATGCCCCGTGCCCCATGCAGCATTAACACGCTAGGTATCCCGCTTTACTAACAAGCTCCTGCCCCACTTGTTCAAACTGCCTCCATCTCTCTTCCCAGATTCCTGTGATGGTGTGGAGTGCGGTCCTGACTCTTCTTGCAACTCCGACGCTGAATGCATTTGCAACCCCGGCTATAACACGCTACCTGATGGCACTTGCACTGGTGCGTGTTCCCCCTCTCCCTCTCTCTCCCTCTCTCCTTCTACCCCCTTCCCCCTGGAGGGGGAGAATGCTCACGTTGGGACTTGACGTGTCACTCACTCACTCTCGCACTCTGTCTGTCCCACGCTCTGGCACTAGATTTCTGCTCAAATTCTCTCCTTTTCTCTTCCCCCGCTCTCCCCCTCCCCCGTCCCAACCCCCCTCTCTCTCACTCTCTTTCTCTCTCCTCCCCTCCACACTCTCACTCCCTCTGACTTGACCATGTACCAGAATCGTGCAGCATCAAGACGTGTGGCGCTGGGGAAGAGTGTCTGGATTTCAGCGGCGACAACGGCGAGTCGGTCTGCAGATGCCTCGATGGATACGTTGGGGAGCCTGGATCTTGTCTTGGTACGTAGTGTGCATATTGATGCCCCTCTCGCCCCCTCTCCCACACTCTCTCTCACGATTTCTTGCCCAACATGCGCCCTGGTAGGGAACTCGCCTCTTCCGCCTCTTCCACCTTCTTTTCCCCCCGCTCTCCCTCTCCCCCGTCCCAACCCCCCCCCCCCCCTCTCTCTCTCTCTCTCTCTCTCTCTCTCTCTCTCTCTCTCTCTCTCTCTCCTCCCTCCCCTCCACACTCTCACTCCCCCTGACCAATGACCATGTACCAGAATCGTGCAGCATCAAGACGTGTGGCGCCGGGGAGGAGTGTCTGGAATTTGGTGGCGTCAACGGCGAGTCAGT